ATGGCCTAATAGTATTATCACAAAATCTAAACTGCACATGTTGTGCCACTATGTTTAGCACCCGAATTAGTCAGGACTGATAAATTCAGCTTACCAATGGGGTTAGTAGAGGTTTCTTGTCCTTTCTGGTGCATGCGATAATGGCGGGTCACTGTGCCATGAGCAGCTTCAGCTTCAACTGTTTTGCCATCTGGGCAGATCAGGACGCTGGTCATCATTCCCAAGGAGCCATAACCTGGACACGAGAATGAGAACTGAGCAATGCTTATTGTAGGAAACCTGGGTTGAATATAAGCACACATGTTTGCAGATTTTTCCCAGCAATCTCCAAACGTACAAGTTAGAAGTTAGTCCAGCTAAGCTGATCGATCAAACTCTAGAACAGCAGTTCCCAAACTTTATCAGTCATGGAAATCTTCAGGAAGCATCTTTTCCCCTAACTTTTCCTCAAGTTACGAATAAGATAGGTTTTGTTTGTTCTTAAGTTGAATTTTCTTAGCAAGTTTGAATGGGTACATTTTAAGTATAACTCTAACCACACACACATACAAGTTTTGTACAGCGTAGAAACGGGTTAACACCCATGAGGCGTTCCTTTTGCCATCTCTGCCCCTGTTCAGAAGATTTCACCTCACTTTCTGTCCCTGTGATAAGTAGATTTTGAAAAAATTGGCTTGTCGAAAAAAGAATTGGCAAAAAGTGGAGACTCCTTTTTCCCGTGATTGAATTTCAATTCCTAGGGGTAGATTTCTCCCACTTTTCTCACTCCCATTCTTAACTATGAGTCATTTGTATATTAGAAGTTTGTAACTCGGGGACTGCCTGTAGTTCCTTTTACCTAGGTGTTTTATGTAACATAGTAGGTTTAGAAATAAAGGGGAAACATTTTAAATATAACCATACATTTTTATTTTGGTACAACAAAGTACCTAAGGTGATGAATTAAATTGCTTCATTATTGTACTTAAAATAGTTTAAAATCAGGCTTTTTGTCCAACAGCATTTAATTTACTTCTAAATTTATTTTTGGTGTAAGTATAAGCTAAAAAGTCTGATTCAGATTGAGCAGCGGACATGAAGCATTTCATATCGCAGTTCAAGCTACTGACCGCTATATGTCTATCTATCCTACCTAATAGTAATTCAGAGGCAAAGTTTCAAATTTTATTTTACATTAGCCATCCCCTGCCACACATTACTGTGGTGCAGTCTGTGTATATGTGTTTTGTGTGTGTATATATGTGTATATTTGTGTATATGTGTATAAATTTGGTTATGTGCATGTGTTGTAATGCATTTTTTTTTTGCTTTTTAAGTCTTTTCCACTATGTTTTCCAGGGTTTTTATGAGTGATGGTCACTCGTTGGCCTGATAGGTGTATTGTGTCCAAATTTGGTGTCAATTTGCCCAGTAGTTTTTGAGTTATGTTAATCCCACAAACGAACATTACATTTTATTTATATATATATACTAGCTGTCCCCTGCCACGCGTTGCTGTGGCCCACATGGTTGTTCTGTGTGGGAGGTTTGGCCCAATTCTATCGTTGGTGGGGTTCAGAATGCTCTGTGATTGTAGGTGAACTATAAATCCCAGCAACTACAACTCCCAAATGTCAAGATTCTATTTTCCCCAAACTTCACCAGTGTTCACATTTGGGCATATTGAGTATTCATGTAGAGTTTGGTCCAGATCCATCATTGTTTGAGTCTACATTGATTTCTGGATGTAGGTGAACTACAACACCAAAACCAAAGGACACTGCCCACCAAACCCTTCCAGCATTTTCTGTTGGTGAGGGGAGAACTGTGTGCCAAGTTTGGTTCAATTCCATCGTTGGTGGGGTTCAGAATGTTCTGTGATTGTAGGTGAACTATAAATCCCAGAAACTACAACTCCCAAATGGCAAAATCAATTTTTTGAGTGAAGGGCATACACTGGGTTGTTAGGTGTCTTGTGTCCAAATTTGGTGTCAATTCGTCCAGTGGTTTTTGAGTTCTGTTAATCCCACAAACGAACATTACATTTTATTTATATAGATTGATTTTCAATAAGATCTTCATGCTATGCCATGGGTTTTTAATTTTCTTTTAAAGATTTTTCTCAGAACTTCTAGTGCTTTTGTGGAGTAACATTTGGGAACCGCTGCTCTAGAATGTTCTCAATAAATCAAGTAGCAATACAGTGCATCTACATAATATGAATTTGAGCAAGTGGGTGGACAGGCCACAGTCTGCTAGTTAACCCCTGCTATGAGCTACTAGGGTTCTCCTGATGCCCTCATATTAATCAGATCACTTTCCAGAGTAAGCCTACCCATCTCTAATGTATGTGTCTTCAAGTTGCCTGTTGACTTATGGTGACCCCATTAATTTCTTCGGGTTTTCTTAGCAAGGTATACTCAGAGGTGGTTTTGCCACTGCCTTCCTCTGAAATATTACTCACAGCACTTGGTGTTTGCTGATGGTTTCCCATTTAAGTACTGATCAGGTCTGATGCTATTTAACTTCCAAGATTGAACAGGATCTGGTGCTTTCAGGATATTTAGTACTGAAATGTCTTTCTGCAGAGGGCAGAGACTTACCTTGTGCGACTGAATCAGACTGTACATCACCATCATAGTTTTTGCAGGCCCAGATAAAACCTCCCTCAGATTTTAGGGCTTGAGCCACCATGTCATCAATCAGCCGATGCTCGTACCAAATGTTTTTGGCTTCAAACTGTGACTTGTATTGCCTGGAAAACACATAAAACAGTATGCTAGAGGTGGCAACTAAAAATGCAGAATATACAACCATTTAGAAAAAAAAAGGAAAGCAATGTACATCTTGTCTTTAGAGAAAGTAAGTTGTGTTGCCACAGAAAAATAGTAACATACTTTAAATATTTGTTTTTATGCAATATTTGTTTGGATTGCATTTGCCCTACATCAGGGATCCTCAAACTTTTTAAACAGAGGGCCAGATCACAGTCCCTCAAACTGTTGGAGGGCCGGATTATAATTTAAAAAAGAAAAGAAAAGAATGAATTCCTATGCACACTGCACATATCTTATTTGTAGTGCAAAAAAACACTGAAAAACAATACAATATTTAAAATGAAGAACAATTTTAACAAATATAAACTTATTAGTATTTCAATGGGAAATGTGGGCCTGCTTTTGGCTGATGTGATAGGATTGTTGTTGTTATGTGCTTTCAAGTCATTTCAGACTTAGGTTGACCCTGAGCGAGGGCCAGGTAAATGACCTTGGAGGACCATATCTGGCCTCCGGGTCTTCGTTTGAGGACCCCTGCCTTCCATGTTAAGGGCTGCTCCATAGATCACAGTTACTGCCTGGCTGTCATCTGTGCATATACGAGGGGTATTTTTTAAGTAAGGTCCGTTTTGTTGTAGACACTAGTAGTTGCGCGCATACCGCAACGAGCGCGTGCGTCGTGTACCGGCATGCCTCGGGAACAACTGTGCTCAGTTTCCGCTCTGTAGCTAACCTGTACGGTTCTGTTCTGAGCTTTAAAAATGTTCAAGACTACCAACTCACCCTCCACATGTGAGGTTCGCTCAGTGATACTGTTTTTGTCAGCAAGGAACCTGCCTGCTGCAGAAATTCATCGACAGATTTGTGAAGTGTACGGTGATACTGATATGATTGAAAGCAAAGTGCGTAAGTGGGTATGACAATTCAAAGATTTTTATTATTGTTATTGCGAAGCACCTGTTCTCACGAATCCTCGCTTCAACTGAAGCCATCAAATCGTCTGTAATCAAAGAAGGGCGACCAGAACAGTCCTCATCATGGACGTTGTCACGGCCATCTTTGAACTGTCGTACCCACTTATGCACTTCGCGGTATGCGCGCGAACTACTAGTGTCTACAACAAAACGTACCTTACTTAAAAAATACCCCTCGTAATTTATGTTCGTAATCTATGAAATTAAATAAATTCACATCGCTTCTTGTTTTACAGAAACGGGGAAGCAAATGCTTTCTAAAATAGTAACTAATTTCAGGTCTTGAAATTACGAGTGTAACAAATTTATTTTCAAAAGCATCTTTCTAAAATTGGCATGGGCACAGAGGAATGCTCAGGCCAAATTTTATTTCCAGTTCATAGTGCAATAGTAGCAGCTAAATGCATTATAAAGAGGGGTTTTTTTGGGGGGGGGGATTATAATGGAAGTGAAAAGCTGGAAGTGAACCTGGAGCTTTCATTTGTCTCTGTATTTTTCTGTTTTGGTGCAGTTAATGTAATATATGGCAGCTTTTCCCCATACCCACAATTTTCAATGGAAGTGCAGCTTCTGCTGCTCTGGGGAAAAACACTTTAAAGAAAATTATTGGAGGCCTGTGCTCAAAAAGCAAACTACATCAGTCCAGTTGTTGCAGAAGAAATGCTCTACCTGCTAGATGCAAACGTATCATGTAACAAAATATTATTACTTCTCATAGATCTCCTGAAAGATGTCCTTAAAACGACCATCGTATTTCTTCAAAATGGTATTTTTGGTGCTCATGTAAAGAGGCCAGGCTTTAGACAATGCCATCTGGAAAGAACTATGGGCAAAGTCCTTGATGGATTGGTCAAGGTTGTACATCCCTAAAGCCACTCCTCCACAGCCTATAACCACAGAAAGAGAGGAAGAGCAAAACAAGTCAGATCCAACTATAATAATACAGCTTTTGAGCAGTAATGCAATATTGTATAGATCCCTAACAACATCCCATTGTGGTTGCCTCTTATTTCAGGCCGCACTAGTGTATACGAGAGCTTGAAGACCTGGTGGTTTCAACAAGCCTTTGAGAATGACTAGTTCTAGCTCAGCCCCAGACATTGTTGAATATGGCCTTATTCTTCCTACATTGTTGAATATGGCTTTATTCCCAGATCACTCCCTCTAATAGGCCCGGAAATGAACAGCCATAGACCGTACCTGTTATTTTTGTTGCCTGCTATAGCACTGCACTTAATTTCCCAGGCTCCCTAGAAATTTTGAGCTTGCACTAGCCTTGGTCCAACCTTTTAAAAAATTGCCTTGAATAGGTAGGATTACTTTTATGTATTACTGTGACAATTTCATGCTTATATATTTTTTATTTTTATGTTTATGTTGTTTGCTCTGTATGTATTGATGATGTTACTTGGAAACTGCTCTGAGTCCCCTCAAGGAGATAGAGCGGTATATAAATAAAGTTTTGTTGTTGTTGTTGTTTTGCCATGCAAAGACAGCACTCTGAATAAGAGGCAACCACAGTTCACGCTTTTATGCAAAATTATAACACTACGATTCTACTTTCCCTGTTATGGCTGCCTTGTGTGGAATTCTTCTGGGATGGACAGTTCGGTCAGAGACACTTAAGAGCTATTCTCTGGCTATGGATACAAAATCCACCCTCCTTCAACAGCTTATCCCACACTTTCATAGGATGCAGCCATAACAGTTGAAGCGGAATTGTGATGATATAACTATGTAGTGTGAAAGGATCCCACATTTCACTTGGCCATCCAAAAAAGGGGAAATGTAGAGAGATTTTCAGAGGGACTTGTAGCAATCATCCACCTTTGGTTTAAGATATTATCCCATCACGATTTTGTTATAGTAAATGGATAAAAGCAAAAATTGAATTGTTTTTGATATGCTAGCCTCAGAGAACACTTGTCAATAGGTGAGGTGACTGATAGTTGAGATTAGAAGGGCGAATTTCCCATCAAATCAGCCCATCTTACAGAGTTACTGTAGTGATTCTTTTCAGATTTCCTACACTTTAAAATGTAATACCTCTGACGAAATCCAACCAGTATGTTACAATGGCTGGGAATTCAGCTAAAAACCTTACAACGCTTGAATAAATTCCAGCTTGGCACCAGTCACTACTTGTCACAATTGCAAGCTGGCACTCGGCCCACAACTGTTCATTCATGGCCATAATGCATTTGAGAGTGAATACAGGAAGAGCCTTTTAATGATTGTGGTACAGCTACTAATCTTTCGTTCTTACTCTCCCCGATGCACAACTCATGTACAATTTAATATAGCTTTCATCACGTGTCCATATCGATGATACAACTATACACTTTGGGCTGAAGGGGAAAATACTGAGGATAATAAGATTCAGTCAAGGATTCAAGGTATTTAATTCTCATCTTAGATGAATGTAGGCTCTTCTTTATACAGAAAACGGCAACACATCAGTTCTGTTACTTGCACAGAAATACAGTCTCCTAGCAACTTTCTTCCCCAAGACTGGACCCATTCATAGCAATAAGAAACTGAAAGTTTTGTATAGTGATAGTTTGTGGTGCATTTATCCCACAAATCAATACATCACTAAATACCTATTTCCAAAGTATCTGGAGAATCCTAAGTATTCTATACGCCTTATCTGAAGAATCCTTAGGATAGCCAGGCAAGGCATATTAGTGATAGTGGCTGAAGCTGAGAGATAGTAACTTATCCAAGGTTCAGGCCAGCCCTGGCCATTTTGTTGCCTTCCCATCCTGGGCAGAGCATAAAAATTGTACATTACTAGTAATGTTACCACAGCAGTTACTGTGAAATGCTATTTTTTATTAACAAGGATGTGCTGCTGTTCCCCCAATTTCATTTACCGTATATACTCGAGTCAAAGTTTTTTATTATTTTCCTCTGTTATTATTATTATTATATTTATTATTTTACTCTATTTACCATTATTATTATTATTATTATTATTATTATTACATTTACATTATTTTACTCTATTATTATTATTTTATAAAAATTATTATTTTACTTTATTATTGTTGTTATTATTACATTTATTATTTTCCTCTATTATTACTGTTATTTAGTATTTTCCTCTATTATTATTAATTTATTATTTTATTCTCTTTATTATTATTGGAAGGATACGTAAGCATATTTACATTGAAGAAAGTTAGAAGAACGGTTTAATCAGAGTTGGACAGTCTTATCTTAAATTACACTTTTATGGAAGTATTCCAAAACATTTAACCTACTGATGCCTCAGTTAATGTAATATTGGTATCTATTTTTATGTTGAAATTTACCAATGTTGAAATTTACCAATAGCTGCTGCATTTCCCACCCTTGGCTTACACTCAAGTCAATACTTTTTCTCAGTTTTTTGTAGTAAAATTAGGTGCCTCGGCTTATATTCAAGACAGCTTATATTCAAATATAAATGAGTAATTTGTGTTCCATGTGTTCCAGTCGTGGGTGGGGGCTTTGAGATTTTCCTTCTTCTACCAAACTCCATTACTTTTTTGGATGGATTCTTAATCCAAAAGGAGCAAATAGTTATGAGTAATAGAGGCAGTTAATGATTGAAGTAATCATTAACTGCAATGAAATAGTAATAGTAATGAGTAATGGGGACAGTTAATGATTACAGTAATCATTAACTGCAATGAGAGAAACTGTGCACTAAGCAGAAGTTGAGTATCCGTTGTCTAGAAATCCAGAATGCTCCAAAATTGTGGCTGAGATAGTGAAACCTTTCCTTTCTGATGGTTCAGTGTACACAAACTTTATTTCAGGCACAAAATTATTTTTTAAAAATATGTTGTGTCTATAATTGCCTTTAGGCTATATAAAACCTAAACGAATATTGTGTTTAGGCTTGATTCCCATTTTTAATATATCTCATGATGTAGATGCAAATATTCCAAAGCTCCCCCGCCCCAAGATCCAAAATACTAATTTTCCCAAACATTTCATATAAAGCATACTCAACCTTTAATAGGATGTGTTCTTTACAAACTAACTTTCTCTGCCCTGCCTCTCCAATGTCTTGTATGACTTGGCAACTGTTACTTGTACCACTTGGGTGGTATTATAGAGAAAGTGCCACAAAGATCACACGGCTTCACCAGATCTCAGCAGACATTCCTCAGCACTCTTAAGATGTTCCCATAATATACGCATCTTCTGCCTGCAGGCTTGCCAGTAGCCATGGAGGTTTGGGCTAAATAGCTCACATTGCCAGTTTATTTTCCTTTCTTTCAATTTGAGAACAAAAGTGAAAGAGACTCAACAGTAGTTTGGTCATCCATCTGATTTGGAATTCTGGCTGGATGTTGGTGGGGGTCACAGGATCCTGGAAAGTATGGCAAAGGCTGGCGCATAGAAGCAGCCATTGACATTAGGCATGTGCAATCCATGGTTCTAAAGTACTTACAAAACTAAAGTTCTGGTTGTGAAAACTAGGAGGCGCTGGTGCTTTGCTTCTACAGTGTTGCTAAAGTTCTGGTGGTGAAACTTTCAGAACTCTAACAAAACTTTCAAAATTTCATTATAAATGGCAGTTCCTAATAGGTTCTGTCATAAAAATCACCAATATTGAAATAATAATGAAATTTTGAAAGTTTTGTTAGAGTTCTGAAATTTTCACCACCAGAACTTTAGCAATACTGTAGAAGCAAAGCACCAGTGCCCCCTAGTTTTCACAACCAGAACTTTAGTTTTGTAAGTACTTTAGAACTATTTAGAACCATGGATTGCACATGCGTAGTTGACATACACACACATGCTCTCATTTTAGCTTCCTTATCTCTTTCCTTGGGGCAATAATGCCTCAAGTCTTGAAGGATCCATTCTAGCATATAAACAAGACCGGATATTTTCTAAAAAGGAAATAACACTTTCCACATAATTTTAAATTTCCTCCAGTACTACTTCTAAGAATGTCTGAAAAGGTCAAGGAATGGAGATCGTGACATTCCTCCCACTTTATAATGTCCCATTGTTTGCAAGGATCAATGCTTCAATGGTAAATGACCCCAAATTGTATTACGTCCTTGCATTTGCTCAACTAGAACACTGATAGAATAAATCCAAGCTGGTTTCACAGCTACTGATGTCACGTTTTGCAATCAGAAAATTGCACAAGTAATTGCACAACAATAAAACTTAGCTTATCAGACTTCTCAGGCTCTGCCCTTGCCTCTGGCACAAAGCACAGGGCTGGGCATTCTGGGAGAAATTGTGACGCAAAACCAGGAACACCACTTTCCCCATAATTTGTGTGCTCTGCAAATAGTTTTCATGTAAAGTTACAAAAAGGAAGACATTTCGGGTAATCTGAAAAAAACTGATAGCCAGCAAGTCATTTGCTGTACAATTCTCATGGTGGTCCACAAGAAGGCCTTACTGGTGCATTATTTAAACTGTTATGTTTATATCATGGTCTGATCACCAAACTCAATATATCCCATATGCATGGGGGTATTGGGGTAATGATACAAAAGGTTTGCTAGGGTAGACCCTCTTTCACTCAGACTCAGCCCCCCCCCCCCCCCCCCCCCCGAATCAAAATCCTGGCTACGGGCCTGCTGCTTGGCCTTGTTGGGGATGGGAAGAGCAAATGATAACTAAGGGGGAATAGGAAACAAGATCTGCTTCATAGTTTTTCAGCTGTTTATCCCTTGTTATTTATTTATTAGTCTCCAAATGGAGTATCTGAAGAATAAAGGAACAGGCTAAGTATCCTAGAATCAAAGAACTGGAAAGGCTATCCAGTCCAACCACCTCCTATGCCATCCTTATCTGAAATACTTCAGACCAGAGGAGTTTGGATTTTTATTAGATTTCGGAATATCTGTGTTGACATATTCATGCATGTTTAGACTTCTAAACATGAAGTCTAAACATGAAATTCATTTATGTTTTATGTATACCTTATACACCTAACCTGAAGGTAATGTTATATAAAATATTTTATGTATACCTTATATAGGCAGTCCTCGAGTTACAAACATCCAAGTTGCAAATGACTCATAGTTAAAAACAGGAAGAAGCAACAGGAAGTGAGAGAAATCTCACTTCTCATGGCAAAAAGGTGTCTCCACTGAAGCTTTATCCCAAATCCTTGTTTCCACAACAAGCCACAATTGTCAATCTGAACATTAGGAAGAACTTCCTGACTGTGAGAGCCGTTCAGCAGTGGAACTCTCTGCCCCGGAGTGTTGTGGAGGCTCCTTCTTTGGAGGCTTTTAAACAGAGGTTGGATGGCCATCTGTGAGGGGTGCTTTGAATACAATGTTCCTGCTTCTTGGCAGAGGGTTGGACTGGATGGCCCATGAGGTCTCTTCCAACTCTAGGATTCTAAGTCCAATTCTTACAGGTACAGAAAGTGAGGCGAAATCGTCTGAACAGATGCACAGACAGCAAAACGAACTCCACGAGGGTGTAACCCCCTTCCCTATATGATTCAAAGCTACACACACAGTATTTTTAGCTGGAGTTACACATGAAAAATGTACCCGTTCTGACTTACAAACAAATTCAACTTAAGAACAAATCTACAGAAGCTATCTTGTTCTTAACTTGGGGACTGCCTATACAGATAACCTGAAGGTAATATCATATACAATATTTTTAATAATTTTGTCCATGAAACAAGGTTTCTGCACAGTGAGCCATCAGCAAACAAAGGTGTCACTATCTCAGTGGACAATTTTGGAGCACTTTGGTTTTCAGAATTCCAGATAAGTGATGCTCAACTTGGATAATATTTTTTCCTTTTTCTGTCTTACATAATTCTTTGATTTTCCAACCACAAATACCTTGATAATTGATTTTCCCCAAAGAAATATGGGAAATTATTGTTTCCATTTGATGTTTGATGTTTTGTCTTATGTGCTTTTTATTTAATTTTAGTGTGTTAAGTTATAATTCGTATTTATATGTTGGGTTATATAAATTTTGTTAGTATTCATGTATTGTTGTTGTATTCGGGCATTGAATGTTTGGAATCTGCCCTGAGTCCCTTTGAGGAGATAGAGCGGAATATAAATAAAGTATTATTATCATCATTATATGACAATTAATGCTGTGTTTATCTCAAAATACTTACTTTCAAAGTTATGGACCAAATAGGTTACAGGTTTGCTGCCATCCTTTGGCGTATAGATCATCTCTACCTTTCCAGGGCCAGGAACAACAAAGTCTGTAGCTCTGTACTGCAAGAGAAGAACAGCAAACAAAATGGCAGCTCTGATGGCCAATGCACAACATGCAGATGGCAGGTATGCTTCTGTATATAACCTACCAGACCCCACCACATTTCCATTATCCTTCCATCAAAGGGGAGAAATAAAATGGGAAAGAACCACATTCCACTGACACATTTTCTGAACCGAGGGAAGGAAATTCAGTGATAGGGTTTGTTGTAGGTTTTTTCGGGCTATATGGCCATGTTCTAAAGGCATTCTCTCCTGACGTTTCGCCTGAATCTATGGCAAGCATCCTCAGAGGTTGTGAGATCCTCACAACCTCTGAGGATGCTTGCCATAGATGCAGGCAAAACGTCAGGAGAGAATGCCTCTAGAACATGGCCATATAGCCCGAAAAAACCTACAACAACCCAGTGATTCAGGCCATGAAAGCCTTCGACAATACATCAATACAGTGATAGTTTGTACAGATTCTGTCGTGGCTGAATCTACTTTAATCATTAACAAAAATGCAGCTCAACTCTATCCCAATCCACTAAAAGTTTGTAACAGACAAGCTTTAAGGCAGTTGGTCATAAACTGTAAGTGCCTATTGCTCTCTATCCTTTGTAGTATTTCACATGACCTATTACAAACTCAAATAAAGCTTCATACCACAAGAGTATACATAAAGCAGCAAGAGATACTCACTTGATCTCCATAAGCATGACGGCCAATGATGATGGGTTTTGTCCACCCAGATACTAAGCGGGGAATGTTTTTGCAAATTATGGCTTCTCTGAAGACTGTGCCCCCCAAAATGTTTCGGATTGTTCCATTAGGAGATTTCCACATCTGCTTCAGCTTGAATTCTTCTACCCTTTTCTCATCAGGAGTGATTGTGGCACACTTGATCCCAACATTGTACTTCTTTATCGCTTCTGCAGCTTCTACAGTGACTTTGTCATCGGTTGCATCACGATGCTCTATGCCCAAATCATAGCTGCAAGGAAGTCAACAACATGTGATTGCTGGCAAAACACTTGATGGATCCATCCATGGTATTGCAAAAAAAATTAAATCAAAGCTTTCCAAATTGTATGTGTCTGAATACTACAACCAAACATGTAAGAGTAAGTGGGTAATTTTAATACCTGAATTGCCAGAATATTTATTTATGAAACAAATAGGATCAAAACCAACCATAATCCAACCATAATGCTTCCAGGATGAAAAAAAATCATACTTCCAGGCTCCCTATGTGTGTGGCGTTGCTGGTTATGCTATGAGTTACTGATTCTGTTTTGGCAGGATCAGCAGGAACAGAGCGGCAAAGCTTGTTAGGCAGGTAGCTCAGTCTTCAGAATAAAGACCAAAGTACAAAAGAAGTGGGGGAAAGGTGAAAGACTCCAGGGTTTCATTTCAAATTGACGCACTTAAAAGATCTTGCTGTACTTTTTGTCAAGGCCTTGGAAGAGTGAGAGCTCTGACATCATCCTGGGCTAAAGGAAAGGGGAAGGGGCATGCCTTAAGTAGATGCCTTTTTAGTCAACAATGACCAGAACCCTCCAGTGACACCTATGATATTTGGTGCACTGCAGACCAACAAAGTAATGTTTTCAAGATCTGGTAAGGTAGCCAAGTGAGAAACATCTTTTCTAGAACACTACACCAAAGGAGGGATAGCAAGAAAAGGGGGGAAATGGGTAGCCATAATATCTGCATGTGATGTAGCTACTCTGGACCAAGCAGAGGGTCAAAAGACTGAGATAAGAGGAGTACAGTAGCCTGAGTAGTTCAAAAGGAAACTCTGACCTATTCATTCTCTGGGTTGTTGTAGGTCTTTCGGCTATATGGCCATGTTCTAGAAGCATTCTCTCCTGACATTTCGCCTGCATCTATAGCAAGCATCTCAGAGGTTGTGAGGTCTGAGGAATACTTGCCATAGATGCAGGCGAAACGTCAGGAGAGAATGCTTCTAGAACATGGCCACATAGCCCGAAAAACCTACAACAACCCAGTGATTCCAGCCATGAAAGCCTTCGACAATACATAATTCATTCTCTGTTTCCTCCTAAAATCCTTCCCCCAGTAACAAAATCCTTGTATGCTGAGCGAGAAGAGCATTAAGAGTCTAAGTCCTGTTACATTTGTTATGATTCTGAAATTATGGACTTTTTGATCGGCACAACAGCCTTTCCAGGAAAAAAAAAATTGGCATCTCATTTTTCCTAATTAACCCATAAAGCCAGAAGCCAATTAAAAAGTGCTGAAAATGCCTGGGGCCTTGTACTTATATTCAAAAGGGATCCGTGAGCCTGAGGCATTGCAAAGAATTGCTGCCTGAGTCATGAACTGTAACTGTTTAAGTCTTACCTGAAGCTTTAGTTTTGAAAAGCTAGGGGTCTATCAACAAGAGCACAGGATTTTCTTTTTCAATGAACTTCAAACTGGCTAATTAAAAATGTTCACAAAGTTAAAAATTTATAATTTGAGGACATGGTTTCACCACGTTGGAGCTCCCCTGATATACTTGATCAGGGCTTTCCAGCTGAGATTTTTTTTTGTGACCCTTTGTATATAAAATAGGTACAAAAATCAAACATTTACTGATGATTAATCAGCATTTGCATGACTTGCTAATCAGGCTGATTATCTTTTTTGAGAGAGAGAGAGAGAGAGAACAGCTTAAGCATTTTCTGCAGTGTCCACAGTAGACCCTGCACATTGTTGTTAGCAGATTAATGTAAATGGCTGGTGTTCGGAAAGCTTTCATTTTTGCCAATTTAATGACCACAGAATTGAGCTAAGGGGATCCCATTTGGGATCAGGACCCACAGTTTAAGAAGCAATGTACTAGATCAAGGGCAGGCAGCAGTGCCAACAGCCCTTTCCTCTGGAGATGATGGAAGTTATCATCCAACACATCTGGAGGCTGGCAAAAGCTGATCTAGATCCTGGAAAGCAATGAGTAAAGGCAAGAGAATCTGCATAAGTGGAAACAGACTATTATGAGACACTTACAGAATTTGTTTCTGTAAAATGATGACTAAACATTTAATATGTTATAACATCATATACGTAGTGTAGTAATTGTGTTATAGAAGCACCGTTCCTGATACAAAGGAACTATACAGTTTTTTTCTGATATAGAGATTATTGTACATAGTCATTTGTAAGTCAACCCCATGTAAAGCCAAGGACAGTTTTTGGGACCAAAATTGTGGATTTTGATATGACCTATGGAAAAGTTGGATTTTTTTTTTCAGAAGTAGTGACATGGCAACCCTGACCACCATTTTTCTACTAAAGTCTTCAAAAGGGCCAGGAGTGGTGTTACTTACTTCTTTTAGGGTCACCTGGGATAGGTGCTTACCTTTCAACACTCTATTCAGATATGGTACTTTTTTTGAAATAAGAATTAAGATACAGTACTTTTTTCATGCCAGGAGCAACTTGAGAAACTGCAAGTAACTTCTGGTGTGAGAGAATTAGCTGTCTGCAAGGACGTTGTCCAAGGGACACCCGGATATTTTGATGTTTTACCATCCTGTGGGAGGCTTCTCTCACGTCCCTGCATGGGAAGCTGGAGCTGACAGAGGGAACTCATCTGTGCTCGCCCCAGGTTCGAACCTGCAACTTGTCGGTCTTCAGTCCTGTCAGCACAAGGGTTTAACCCATTGCGTCACTGGGGGCTCCTGGTACAGTACTGACTCATGGATAATTCAGACCAGTTTTTTTGGTTGATTTTTTGACTAAAATTCCAAGACATAATCATGGGTATATAATTCATACACATAAAAAAATTGTCAATAATTCCCAAGAGAGAGAAATAAAGTTCAAACAAGACATTCCTGGACATAATAAAGCGTGATGGACAAACACATAAAATAAATTGGACTTTCCCAACAATATAGAAGATTTTGTAAAGCTCACATACCTGTGAAGATCCAGATCAACATAGGGAAAGATCAGCTTTTCCTTGATCAGCTCCCATATTATACGCGTCATTTCATCCCCCTGCATCTCCACCACGGAGCCTCCATTGATTTTTTTAGACATTGTGACCTGAAAGGTAATAGAAAAGCATAATAAACAATACAGATCATAATAACACCCAAGAGGTAAACATTACAGGTGTAAACCTTGCTTTAGTCAGTTTTTGCAACCAAGAGAGGAAAATATTTTTTTTCTTGCTGGGAGAGATTATGAACATTGTGGACTTTTTGGGGATATTTTCGGACATTTTGGCACATTTCTACAAAAGATGTCATACAAATATTTTTACAAATAAAACTGCATTATATGGCAGTGTAGATCCAGCCATAGTTTCATGGTCACTACTTATGTGATTCTGGCACCTTCACACAATATATCATGAATGTTTCCAACATTACTGGAGTTATACAGATTCCCACTACAAGGAATCTACACAAATGAGATATGGGTGTGGTCCAAGCACCCCATTTCCATGAGGGTTCTAGCCACACAATCTGTGTAGGCAAATCTGCAGAAGTTCAGCCTCTGAGTTGGCACTGGTGCTTTCCTCTTCTCATGGAATAACACTCAACATGGGCCATATTAAAATCCATAATTTTGGTCCCAAAATATACCCTCAATTTATACGTGAGATTGATACATACTGGAGTAAATCATATTGGCTACTCTTCTTTTGGAGGTCACAGTAACTGCAACTGAAATTTGGAGGGAGAGGTTCTCACTTGCAATGGGGCCAGGCTTGATAAAGATGTGCCTGCTCAGAGTCCAGAGCAATGGTCTCTACAATATAGAGGGAGGGTCTCTCATCAACTGCTGGAGTCAAGGCTTGAAAAACATGTGCCCAAGTGTCCGTCTTGCTTCCTCCAAGAGCTGGAGAACCACAGCCCAGTCTGATGTAGCAGAAAACCCTCTACAGATAGATCCTTTCTTTCCACAGAAGGGCAATTCTGGATCTTACTCTGGGGCCCAATACTGGTCAAGTGCTAACATAAAAGTAAGATCTAGGGTAAAGCACCATCTGCCCACATGAGGCCAAAGCAAACGCTACCAATTATGGAAGTGGAGACAGTGGTTTGAGCTCTGGACTAGGAGTCTGGAAGCCAGGACTGGAATCTCGCCTTGGACATGGGAACACATTGGGTGATCCTGGACAAGTCACATACTCCTAACCTCAGAAAGTCCTATGATAGCCTTAGGGTTGGGGTCCTCAAACTTTTAAAGCCGGTTCAAGGTCACATTGACTGTACTCTGAAAACACGAACGAAATCCTATGCACAATGCACATATCATACTTGTAGTACTATATATATATATATATATATATATATATATATATATATATATATTAGCTGTCCCCTGCCACGTTGCTGTGGCCCAGTCTGGTGATCTGGAAAATAAAGTAATGAGAAAGTGTTGGTTTCTAATATATGTAATTTTATGCTTGTGAGTAAACAGTATTTCTTGCTGTTTCTTTGTCAGTGTTGATGTGGAGAGTGTCTGGTTTGCCTACTCGGAAACATGCAACATATAATTGTCCTTCTTTAGGGGTCCCTTTCAAATCTATGATACTATATCTGTGTGTGTGTGAATCATATCTATCTATCTATATCTATGGCTGGATGGCTCTTTGTCAGGAGGGCTTTGATTACATTTTCTTGCCCTGATGAAGGGAGTTGGATTGGATGGCCTTAAGTATTTTCTGTTGGTCATGGGGGTTCTGTGTGGGAAGTTTGGCCCAATTCTGTCATTCGTGGAGTTCAGAATGCTATTTGATTGTAAGTGAACTATAAATCCCAGCAACTACAACTCCCAAATGACAAGGTCTATTTTCCCCAGACTATTTGGGCATATTGAGTGTCTGTGCCAAGTTTGGTCCAGATCCATCATTGTTTGAGTCCACAGTGCTCTCTGGATGTAGGTGAACTACAACTCCCAAAACTCAAGGTCAATGCCCACCAAACCCTTCCAGTATTTTCTGTTGGTCATGGGAGTTCTGTGTGCCAAGTTTGGTTCAATTCCATCGTTGGTGGAGTTCAGAATGCTCTTTGATTGTAGGTGAACTATAAATCCCAGCAACTACAACTCCCAAATGACAAAATCATAATTTTTTGAGTGATGGTCACTCCTTGTGTTGTGAGACGTTTTGTTGCCAAATTGTGGTGTGATTTTGTTCATTGGTTCTTTTGTTTTTAAGGTACTCATTATGCACAGAGAAAGAACAATACAGTATTTAAAACGAAGGACAATTTTAACCACCTGGCAGCAATTCAATGGGAAGTGTGGGACTGCTTTTGGCTGATGCCATGTCAAATAGGATGGTTGTTGGCATGTGCCTTCAAGTCGTTTCAGACCTAGGGAGATCCTAAGTCAAAAGTTTGGGGCAGGTAAATAACCTTGTAGGGTCGCATTTGGCCCATGGGCCTTAGTTTGTGGATTCCTCCCTTAAGACCTCCATAAATTGGAAATTACCTGCAGACACAACAACAAAATGTTTGACATGGGAGGCCAACTGTTGCCCATTCGTGTAATGAGCCAATTCCTTTCAATTAAGTTAACACAAACAGGCCTAACGTATCTACTTTGTCGAACCATGGAGTATTTTATTGCCACAACACCGAAAGTACAACAAACCTTTTTTTCCTGTAATGTTTTAGGTGCTAAAATTGAGTCCTGGCATAGTTTAGGATTCCAGAAGTCAGAACAAAGCATTCAAGTCCATGGGGCAAGGAGCTATGTCTCCTACTTGTACCTTGATCCCGTTCAACAAAAGCACTGTTATAAAAGATTTCATGGCTTACTTATAATCCTTGCTAGTTTTTGTTGCTAACAGCGATCAACAAAGAGCAATGACTTGGCATTTTTTTTCTTCAGAAGAGATACAGTTTCCTATACTCAAATGTAAGCCTTTGATGCAAAAAAATCAAATGTGATTATTATTTACTCCCACTCTACAATTTTTAGAAGCTATTTCTCATGCCACACTTGGATTGCACAACTGAGATTCTTCCTCTGAGAAGATCCAGAAATGTATTAAAGAAAATTAAATTCCATTCAGCTTCCTGGGACTCCTTTTCAGTCAAGCTCGTGGTGCCCAGATATCTTTGCTTCACAGCAGAACTCATGCCAACTATATCCACATACATCCCAGTCCGTGCTTTCCCTTCTCCTCATGACACTGAAGTGCCATTCATGGCCGAGAACAGTCCACATTTGTTCAAACAGTGTGAATTAGCCTAGACTGCTTAAGACAAATTTCCAAAATCAGGTGATTCACTAAATGTGATACTACAATCCCATTAGCTCTATTCACAGGATAGATTTTTTTTTTTGGTTGTGCCAGGAGCGACTTGAGAAACTGCAAGTCGCTTCTTGTGTGAGAGAATTGGCTGTCTGTAAGGACGTTGCTCAGGGGACGCCTGGATGATTTTGATGTTTTATCATCCTTGTGGGAGGCTTCTCTCATGTCCCCGCATGAGGAGCTGGAGCTGATAGAGGGAGCTCATCTGCCTCTCTCCGGATTCGAACCTGCGACCTCTCAGTCTTCAGACCTGCCAGCACAGGGGTTTAACCCACTGAGCTACTGGGGGCTTTGCAGAATAGTAATTCCTAGACATTGCTGAAAGTTATTTCCTAAAATCTGATTTTTAAAAGAATCATTCTAGTTTGTGTCAGAAAAGAGAACAGCAGATAACAATAACAATAACAATAATAATAATAATAATAATAATCTTTATTTATACCCCGCCACCATCTCCCCGATGGGGACTCGGAGCGGCTTACATGGGGCCAAGCCTGAACAACATATTACATCAAAATAAAACCAAACCATGAACAACAAGCAACATCATCAAAAGGGAAAAAATATGAATACAATAACAAAATAACCTTATAAGGTAGGTTATATAGACACAAGTACGGTGCTTAACAGGCTGTAATTGACTTAATTCTCAGTGTTCACACCAAGCTTTGTTCAAGACCTCTAGCAGACAATATATTCTCCCCAATTCCGGTTATATAGACACAAGTACGGTGCTTAACAGGCTGTAATTGACTTAATTCTCAGTGTTCACACCAAGCTTTGTTCAAGACCTCTAGCAGACAATATATTCTCCCCAATTCCTGGTTCTAGGCATCCTAAATAAGAAGGGTTCCCATGTGGATTCACGCCATTGATTAATACATTTCTATACTACCATAAATCAGATGATTTCCAGACAGTTTCCATGATAAAACCAGTATATGCATTGCATTCAAACATCTACCGGTGGTGTCTAATCTGTGACCCTTCAGGTGTTTGGGCCTCCAATTCCCAGAAGCTCTGGCTATCTTATCCAATGGCCAGGAATTCTGGGGACTGAAGTCCAAAACATCTGGAGGATCAAAGGCTGGTACTACTGATCTAAACTGTAACATTTATCCAGTTTATGTAAAAATCCTAATATCCTGGGCCCATCCTCACAGCTCAGTTATAGCATTATAACAGCTTATGTATCCCATATCCAAAATGTTGGGACCAGAAATGTTTGGTTTTTTTTTTTTACTTTGGGATGCCTATATTTGCAAATATGTCCATAGTGAGTTATCTTGGAGATGGAGCCCAAGTCTAAACACAAAAATCATTTCTGCTTCTTACAGTGTTCCCTCACTACTTCACAGTTTGCTTATTGCGGACTCGCTGTTCCTTCTTCTCCAGACTGGGCACCAGACTTGGGCGTCCAGCCTGGGGAGGAAGGGGTCTCTGAGGTGGGGAGCAGTGGAGGTGACGATGAGGAGTATTCTGCTCGGCGGCCTCGGCGGCGGCCTCCTCTTCCTTGCCACCTCCGCTGGTCCCCACTCCTTCCTCGCCAAACTGGGTGCCAGGCTTGGGTGTTCAGCCTGGGGAGGAAGGGGCCTCCAAGGTGGGGAGCAGCGGAGGTGACAAGGAGGGGGAGGAGGCCGCTGCAAAGTAGGGACACTCTGCCCTCTCGAATGGACAGAACGTCCCTACTTCGCGGATTTTCACTTATCGCGGGTGGTCCTGGAACGGAGCATCCGCAATAAGTGAGGGAACGCTGTATATACTTTGTACA